TCCAATAGTTTTCAACAGACTCATGAAAATAAAGTCCAATCAAACAAAAAACAACCTCCTAACATGGCTAAGAACAGTCTCAGAGCATCGTGAAGAAAAAGCACAGCATCCACAGTGGAAGGTTTTAATCCAGTCGTACTTTTTCCAGCTGCGCTGAAGTCACGCTCGCCACCGGGACACTAAACACAGAACGAGCCGGTCGCACGAATCTCAGATCGCGCCGCCGGGAAACCTGTGCGTGTGCGTGAGCAGACTGTCATGTGTCAGTCATGTCAGTGTGATAGGTTATAAAACGTCTTTCTATGTTTGCTTTTCAATCGTCATCTTCTCATATTTTATTTTAATTAATGTCTAAAATAGGCTATAAAAAAAGATAAGCCTAAAACAGGCCCGAGGCCCGGCCCGCGTGTGAACTATGACGTGAAAATTGGCCCGAAGCCCGGCCCTAGAAGCGTAAATAAGTCGGGGCCCGTCGGGCTCGGGCTGAAATGCAGGCCTCTACAGCAAGCGTCCCCTGCTTGCCCCTACAGTAAAGTTAGGACGAAAGAGAAAGTCATTAGAGGAACCAGCAGAGATAAAAAAAAAATGTGAAGAACGCCGAACTTTGAGTAGGATAAATATAGGGTCCACCATTGACCGTTAGAGGAAGCTTCAGGAAGATCTGGGACTGAAGACCGACGCTGACACGGCTGACTTTTTGTTGAGCAAGTAAACATTTATTTATACTTTTATGGTGTGATGTGTTACATAAATAGCTTTTTATCAGTTTGACAACTTGTTCATGCTGCCGGTCGGCATTGGAATGTTAGCCATTTAGCATCGCCTATCACGGGTCGAAGTAATTATATTTCTTGAAGTCCTTGAATATATTTCAGTAGGCCTAGCGGGTTTCTGTTCGAGCCGATCGAAATTTGAACAAGATGCGCTGTGTGCTGCAATAACAATTACTGAAAACCTTAGCAATACTAGTAGGATTATACTAATGGTGGTGGGGAGTTTAGAACATTTCATGTGTTGCTAATCTTGCGTTGATGTGAACTCAAATGTGACATTGAATTGTTGATGAAGCAACTAAGTTCAAGTGTCTAAAGGCAATTTTACATATGATGTGTCTTTAGCGAGGTCATTAGATTGAAGGGACTAGACATCGTACAGCGTACATCTCAGTTCCGATATTTACTACCGGTGATCACAGCTTGACTGAGTGACGTTGTTCAATTCGTTTCCCGGTGGGAGGGATTAGGTAGCACAGAGGGGAGGGGTGTGTGTGTGGAGGGGCGGGATGAGTTTTTTAAAACTTCCCTAACGTCTCAGGCTTTCTCGACCAATTTTTAACATTGTATACTATAGCTTTAAGGTTGTGCCTAGTGTGTCTGGCAGTGATGGAGTACTCGAGTCCTGGACTCGGACTCGAGTCCGACTCGAGTCATTATTCTCTGGACTCGAGTCCGACTCGAGACTCCATTCTCTGGACTCGTGACTCGACTCGGACTTGCAGACTGATGACTACTACTTGGACTCGGACTCGAGAATATAAAATCGGACTTGAGCATTCATCAAATGAATGACGTTGTTTCTGACTAAATAGGTTATAAAAAATTGATATAAGATGTTACACTTTTCCTGTTTCGGGGTCCAAGACCGGCCGTGATCTATTTTTTCCCTCACAGACACTGCTACCGCTCGCTCTCCTTGCTTGACAACACACTCACTGACGTCACTCACTTTAAGCTGCATTCTCGTGAGAGAGTTAACGTAACACTCATTTAACACTAGATAAGTTCCTCTACATCTAATCATCAATTTCGATTTTGGCACGCTTTGCAGCAGCTGAGCTGACCACTAAGGAGCGAATGTACAGTGACGTGACATTTAAAGGTACAAGATTTAAACTGTGCTTTCGTGCTATGGCTGGCGCTGAGCCAAAATCGGACGCGCTCAGCGCTTAATCCCGCTTATCATACAATAACACAATTAAGTTTATTTTAGCTAACAAACTAGACGGCGACCTTGACTATGTCACACATCGCAACCACTCTTTTCCTGCGGAGTTACAACTGCTTATAGCACTGCATTTTCTGTTGTTGTTTTTTTTTGCCGCAGTTACATTGGGATTTAGTTTGCTTTTCAAAATTTCAAAATTGTTTTTCTTTTACCATATTCGTCAAGAAGAATGCATTTCTCCTCCTCTGTCCAATTAGGCTTTCTTTTTTGTTTTCTTTATCCATTCCAGTTGACTGATCATCCAAAAATGTATTTAAACAATTAAATAAATAATCGTGCCACAGCTAGTTGACAATGATTTGAACTAAGGTCAAAGGCAATTCTAGTGATATCATACACATTTCTAGCTGCAAGAAAGAGTGCCTGAAAAATGTTGCTTGATTTGGCTTAAGTGTATATAATTTCGACTCGGACTCGAACACGGGACTCGAGACTCGACTCGGACTTGAACTCAGGTAATGGTGACTCGACTCGGACTCTTCTTTGGTGACTCGGACTTGGACTCGGACTCGAACACTGGGACTCGAGACTCGACTCGGACTCGACAGTTGGTGACTCGACTACAACACTGGTGTCTGGACAACCACTGGACGACATATGTACTCGTCACTGCCCTGAAGTGCGAAAATCAGCCTTTTAAATTTCAACCGCCCGTTGCCCCATCTCGTTCTTCATCGAGCAAGGATACTAGATAATTGCGTTTAATTTACCTCAGCTAAGTAAGATGCGTAATTATTCAAACAAAACCTACAACTTCCTTTTCTAATGTGACATTTATTTGTTCAGTCTAACTGAAGGGACAGAATAACGTTAGCTGATAATTCATGGAGTTTGCGATCTTGTGTAAATTACAGTACTATATAGAAATGCAACAAGAGGCTCAGGGCGATTTGTAACTCAAATTAGCCTGTGATGCGGAGTGTATGCAAAACATCCGCATCATGTATTTTATAATGTCAGGTTCACATCCTCTCTCTTTATTCCAGAGCATTTGATGTTCTGTATTTATTATCTTTGAACTGATTATGATATTGGCATGATACATTTACCAGACATAATAAATTGTTACATTTGATTTTATTCCAACTGACTCTGAAATTAGTAGTTTTCCCAAGTAGATTAAACGGATTCGTATGTTACCGCAAGTTTTGTGTCAGATTAATGCCGACTAATATTTGGCACTAATTCAAGTGTATGTGGTTCGCAAAGACAAGAAGTGAATTTTCGTTTAGAACAGGAAAAATGGTGCTTGACCAATCTAAATTTGGGTCTGTTTTAATTTAATGTTACTTTAGATAAGTGTATGTGGGAAACCACGGCATGGCCAATCCAAAGCTATTATAAGAGAAGTAATGTTGGTCAACTTATATCTGTAATAGTGGCCATACCTCTGCCTGAAGTAAACGTTACTTTAATTTCAAGTGTATGCAATCACAGGGGCTATAACAAAGTATCTTTGATTGTGTAAGCGTGAATGCGACCAATCTCAAGTATATAGCCAATTACCTCTGTTTGGTGACCAAAACATTGACGAGCTTGTGATCGTGAGACCTGCGTTAAACAGAAGGCGTGAGGACCTCAGAGCGACATAGATTCCTAATATGAACGGGTAAAATATAAGTAAAGAGTTCAATAGAACAATCAAATGTTTTGCTAAACTATTATATAATTGACCAATGACCAATTGGCAATCTAACCTAAATTCGAGGTCATGATAAAATGGAGTCAGATGAAATAACGAGGTAATACATATGAGAAAATATAAAGGAAAGACAGTAACGTGCAGAGATTTTCACCCGTCCTATCGGAAACCGCCATTTGGACCAATAAATGGGCTTACAGACACCATCTCCCACACTTGTTTCCTTTTAAATGCAAAGATGAATATAAAAATAACAGATCAATTTCTGTGGAGAAAAAAAATGTTGACTTCATGTAAGAGAAGTGTTAAAATGAATAGGTCTGGGTACAAACAACATGACAGAACAATTACTAAAGAAAAATAGAACTTCTGTTAAAAAAAATCATAGAACTGTTAAAACAGGCATAAATGAATAGAGATAATGTAGATAAACAACAATAGAAAAACAATATAGACTATTATCTTATTGATTATGAACTAATATCTGCAGAGACCAGTCCAAGAAATTCATTAATCAAAGGTTTAAGTTCTCCTTTGTGAACAACATGACATGGTGGTTGTATTTTGGTTTTTGCTGAGACTGTTGTGACATGGTCACACAGGTCATCATATTTCTCCCAGGCAAAGAGTTTCTTCTGCAGTAAGCCACGTAATGTCCCAGAGATTCCCTTGTTGGTCCTGGAATGAATGCAACAACCCCTTGCAAAGTGAACAGCTGATTGTCCAGCTCCATGTCGACAGGGATTTCAGACAGTGGATAGTTAGTATCTGCACTTGTTTCAATACACAGTAGTTGTCCAAGTATGCATCTGTATGTGACAGAGCCATTGCAGAGGTATTTCATTGATGGATCATCCTTAATTTTCCAGCTATCTGGACACTCTTGGGGTGATTTCAGTGGCGTCGGACACTTGGACCTGTTGAGGTGTAGCCCATCATCCAGTGCTGCTTGGAGGCTTTTCAGTCCACCAGTTTGTAGAATATCTCTGATGAGAGAGACTGATCTCAAATGTAATGTCGTAGCATTGACTTTGCTGATTTGTGTCTGCCTTTGACACTGCTGAATGAAAATCTGCTGAGCTTTCTTGTGAGCTGTCACTGTTTGGACCTGGATCTTGGATATCAGTGTCGATTTTGCATAGCTCAAGGATTTGCCATATATTGTGCCTGTTTGTCTTCACAATAGTATAAAGGTTCTTTGGTTGAACTTTGTTATTTAGTTGTTTGCTTAAATTTGCCCGAACCTTTGCTGTGGGAACTGTATGTTTGTTCCTGTAATAATCTGTTCCTTTGCAGCACTGATGACTTTGATGATGTCATCACTTCCACAGGCTGGTTTCCTCTGATCAAAACAGGAATTATTTCTCAAACCGTATTCACTTTATAGCCCTTAATCCTGTAATTGTGGACAAATGTGGGCACAGAGGACTCAGGTGTGATCCTAATTTTTATGTATTATAAATGTTATATCACTGTCTTCGATAAAGTTTTGTCTATCCATTTATGGTGTTTATTTTGGGGGTATTTTTGAATTTATTTACTTCAAAAAGTACTATATTTTCTATGTAAATTATGCTTATTTTTATGTTTTATTTTTTTAACTACATTAAAATATTCCAATAAGTTCTTAGAGCTAAAACCTAAAGATGAAGTGACTTTGCTGTCACCTGGTGTCTTATTTTGGTATTAAATTAACAAAAAAAACAATAATATCAATAGCCACTAGATGGCTATAGTACTTAATGGCTGCATACATAGGCTTAACTACGAACCACTGTATAAAATGAATTTGACCTCATAAGTTTTTGACTATCACAAGTTAAAATTGTAATTTAAAAAAATATATATCTGTGTTAGGTGAGACTATACAAAGATGCCAAAAAATGCTTAGATAAATATGACCATGCTATAAGGAAAAGACAAAGTAGATCATTTATCATTTATTTCAAACACAAAACATCAAATTTAAATAACTAATTAGTACCAAACAGGTAAGAACATACATAAAATAACTAAATAAGTGACAAGAACAAACAATAATAGTTATTTACACTATTTACATGCACTTGTGGCAGCAGGTAATTGTAACTGAATGTTCTTTGCAGATATATTGTCTGCATTTTCCACATACAGTGCTGTTTTTTTTTCTGTTTGAAGTGCAGACATGGCACCTTTTTCTTTTTGTTGGGGGAGTTGCTGTGGATGTGCTAGGGATGCTTTCTGAGGAGGGTTGTCCTCTGATCTGATTCAGCATCCTCAGAGAGGCCGCTCCATGGGGAACGCTCTTCCGTCTCTCGATTTTTGGGGACACCAGAGCCTTACCAAGCTCTTCCAGAAAGATCCGCCTTCTCCAGGACTTTCCTGCATTCCAGCCAGGATTTATTTCAGACCACAGGACGAAGGGGTTGAGAGCTGACACATCGAGCATGCTGGAAAATACAACCATTGGCCAACGGTTTGATTTGCGCTTACAAGTGTGTAAGTCCGTCTAATTCGATCCAATGGCGGTATCAATTAGAGGTGAAGGTCACATGCGCGTTCCGTCTCTTCCAATGGCAAAGGGATTTTTAATTAAATGCAATACATTTTGTTTTATGTATTAACTCGTTTCATCTGACTCCATAAAATGAAAGTGTTTTTCAATGATATCTGTGCATCTTTAAATATACGTTAATGTTTGACTATTCCTTTTAACTCCAATGAAAATAAAGTCAAAGTCTGTTAGAATAATCAAATATAACAATTTATTATGTCAGGTAAATGTATTATAACAATTCCATAATCAATTGAAAGATAATCAATTCAAATCATCAAATGTTTTAGGATTAGAGAAATAGATGCAAACCCAACATGAACTACATGAGCTACCTCATGGGCTATCTGAAATACAGAAAAAGCCACGACTCCTTGCTGCATTCCATTAAATAGCCAGAACTTCTTTTCAATGGTAATTTGCATTCAGGTTACACCTTATTTTGGGGGTAGGGGAGAAAGGCCATTTGTCCACCTTTCTTTGTGTGCCAGTTTCTCTAAACTTCTAAAAAACCTTATTACCTTTTGTTTTACTTATTTGGAATGAGACATCTGAACCAGCCACCCTGAGACCTTTAAAATGATACTAAACACAATAATCATTCACATTAAACCATACATATATTCTTATGTGAGTTTCAGGTGATCTGCATGAAGGGGAAGGAGTGGGGGATGAGGGGAAGAAATGTAGATTAGGATGATTCATAGGTGAGACCTCTAGTCTCGGATGGGGCCTTCACAAGAGTGAGCCCAAATGCCACTATGCAGTGGGTTCTTTGTCTTCTCAAGAAGTGGTCGTTCCCTATAACCAGTTTTCCAGTCTTACAGAAGCAGCCACCATCTTGAATAATACACACAGAAAAAGAATAAAAATTAGGGCTGTCAGCGTTAATGCATTAATCGCGATTAGTTAAAAAAAATCCATAACGCGTTATTTTTTTTAATCGCATTTCAAGGAACGCCTTTTTGTCCCTTTGATTAGCCCGTAGTCAGCCCCTTTGGTTTGTGAAGCGGTAAAAAGTGATGGATAGAAAAAGTACGACCGGATTTTTAAACAGCCTGTTTAACTTTAAAAAAAAAACAGACGGTTCCGTTGACAACACTAAGGTACAATGCAGCATTTGTTTCAAGGAGTTCAGCTACCATCGGAGCACGTCAAGTCTAAGTTACCACCTCCAGGCGAAACACCCCGGTGTTTCACCTGACGCCTCCCCGCCAAGCCACCCGCAGCCTCGCCAAAGAACTATTCCTGAGTGCGGGCGTCGCAGCAGACCCTTGGATGAAAATAAGTTAACCACAGCGATCGCCAGATGGGTGGCAACTGATTGCAGACCAGTCAACATTGTTGAAGATTCGGGTCTCAGGGATGTAATCAGGTTGGCAAGTTCTGAACCGGCTTACATGTTACCATCGCGGGGAACAATTGTTGCTCGCATAGAGGAGCTTTATGAAGCTGAGAAACAATCTAAAATCAATCTCCTGCGAAATGCAAATGCTGTGGCATTAACCGGGGATCATTGGACGTCAGTAAGAAACCAGAATTATCTTGGAGTTACTGCACACCATATAGACGCTGACTGGAAGTTGCATTCGTTTGCTTTAACGGTTAAACACTCAGAAGAACGGCACTTTGCAGAAACATGTGCCGAACAATTTTCTGAAGTTGCAGAGCAGTGGGAAATTGCGGGGAAGGTGACAACAATTGGCACCGACAGTGCCCGTAATATGACAGCAGCAGCAAGACTCCTGCCATACGAGCACATGCCGTGCGTTGCGCACAGTTTACAGCGATCGATCACAATGTCACTCCGTGACAGTGGTCTTGAGAATGTCTTGGCAAAATGCCGCAAATTGGTTGGACATTTTAAGCATAGTCCAGCAAATGCAGCTGAATTGCGAGCACAACAAGAGAAGTTGGGACAGCCACAGGAGCCCCTCATCCAAGATGTTTCCACCAGGTGGAACTCCACTCTCAGCATGATCACCCGGCTTCTGAGAAACAAGGACCTTGTCAAGGCTACACTTGAACTCCATCAACAAAGAGGCACACCAGCCATGCTGACTAATGCAGAACTGGAGAAGATCGAAAAGCTTGAAACACTCCTTGAACCATGCAGGTAAATATTTTGAATTTGTTTTGTTGAAAATTAAAATGTGACTGATTTATTAGTCTCTCTTTAATCATTTAGTTATTGCTAAAATTAGATGCTGCTGCTTTTGTAGCTTTAAACATTGGTTATATGAATATGAAAAGCACTGTAAGATGAAGAGGAGGAAGGCCTACTACACACATGCTCTAAAAATTTCGTTTTTAGAATTTTATTTCACTGGAGCTTAACTTCATCCTTTTTTTTTTGTTTTTTTTTTTTTATTACTGGTCATTGATTGCACTTTATGTTTCTTGGCAGGTATGTGACTGAGCTTTTAGGAGGAGAACAGTACATATCCTGCTCCGTGGTCCTGCCTGCACTGTGTCATTTGTTCCGGTTGATGACTGCTTCTGACGATGATCCAGGTTATGTGCTCCGGTTTAAAGCGGCCTTCACATCTGACCTATCAAAGCGAAAACAAAGCACCAATCTCCAGTGGTTGAAAGTGGCAACAGCGCTTGACCCCAGATTTAAGGATCTGAAATGCCTTCCCAGATCTGAAAGGGAGGAAGTCTGGAAGTTGATTAAAGAGGAGAGTGCCCAGCAACCTGAGCCTCGTAGAGAACCTGAGCCAGGTCCACCTAAAAAGAAGATGCACTTTCTGTTAGCTGCTGCATCAGATTCAGATGACGAAGAAGACCCAGCATCTGACACGTCTGTGGATCGGTACAGAGGTGAGCCCAGCATCTCCATCGATGACTGTCCATTGGAATGGTGGTCTGGACACGCAAGGGCCTACCCAACCTTGGCACCTCTAGCACAAAAATATCTGGCTACACCTGCAACAACGGTACCGTGTGAAAGACTGTTCTCACTCTCTGGTCACATCTTGCAAAAAAAGAGAGCAGCACTGTCCACTGCTAATGTCAACAGACTGGTGTGTATTAGCAATTGGGTTAAAGAAAATAAATAGGAGAGACAACTTAGAACTCAAATAGTTCTGAATCTCATGTCCAATCATGCAATATTTTTCATTTCATCTTACTGTCATTTGGACTTTTTTTTTCATCCATGTGCAGCACAGGTTAATTACAAGGATGACATTCTTCATTTAAAACTAGAAAATGTTACAAATATCCCGCTGTGGCCGTCAATGTTTTAGACTGTTCTGTTTGTCATAACGCGAGTTAGAAATTTCCTACCAGTGTTACATATCACTTGATTGCTGTTATTTCCAGCTAGGAATTGTTTTGCTAATGATGTTATTGTTTATTTTTGAAGTAGCTTATGAGAGTGGCCTGATAAATGTAATCTCTCAAAGTAAGCACTGCGTTACTTTATTCCTCCTAATATTTGGAAGTTGGTCTACATTGCACCTTTTTTTTAATAAAAAAAGGTCAAAAAGGAAATTGTATGTGTTCTTTTGATTCCCAATGAAAACTCTGGTAAGATATACTACATTATGGGCTTAGAACTGCCTTGATATGCAAAATAACAGAATTTTACACGTGCAATTCAAACCGCGATTAATCGCAGTTAACTATGAAGCTTCTGCGATTAATTGCGATTAAAAAAATTAATCGTTTGACAGCCCTAATAAAAATCAAACGTTATACTGACAAAAGTACATTTACATGTATTCACTTAGCAATTCATACATTTGTTACAAATTATAAACCACGAGCAATTTTTTATAGGAAAATTAGTAAAAAATGCAACAAAAAATAAATAAATAGTAAAATACCTGGTCAAGGCTGTCCACTCCACCCTTGGTCTTGTTGTAATCCAGGATTACATCCGGCTTCCTCTCGTCACCTGTGCTGACCGTGGCTCCCTTGTGAACTGTGCTCATCAAGAGCACATTTCTGGGGTTTTTGGGACAGTAATGGCGCTTTTCCACTGCTTGGTACGACTCGGCTCTGCATGGCACGGCTTGGCTCGCTTTAGCTCGGTTAGCTTTTCCACTGCAGTTAGTACCGCTTCAAAGTGGGTGGGATTATAGTCGGACCGTTATAGTTTATCCGCTCCTCGGCAACCAACGAGAGGAACGTCTGCACTTCGTCCACTGACCACGATTCAGCCATTTCTTTTTTATGGAAGTTTTCTTTCTTTCTTTTTTCTTCAAGCAAGTCAAGCAAGTAGTTTTAAAACAGGTGCTACAGCGGTGGCTGTTGTCTACTGGCTATTTAAATCTAGTGGGTTTAGTGTCTCGTGTCGCAAATACAATGACGCTGATAGTGACGATTCTGTCTGTCTGACCAATCAGTGATATGTAGTGTTTTCACGTCACATTTTAGTATCGGTACGGTATGCTTGGAACCTCAACAGAGGTGGTACCATTTAAAGCGAGCCGAAGCGAGCCGTACCGTACCATGCAGTGGAAATGCGCCATAAGTGAGCCGTACCGAACCGAGCCGTACTGTACCATGCAGGGGAAAAGCGCCATAAGACACAAGTGTGTGTGTATTGGTGAAGGCAAACACTGAAGAGAATTTCTCTCTGCCCCTTGTCTTTACCAGCGCAGATGGGAGCTCAGGTTGGTTTTTTCTCACAGTTCCCAGCATGCCCAGTTTTCTCTTCAGGAGCTCCTGGCCAAGGGCATACGACGTGAAATAATTATCACAGGTGATGGTGTGCCCTTGGAGACCCACGGACATGTCGAGGACAACGCGCATTGCCAGGTTCTTCTCTCGCTGCCCATCACCTGGCTTCCCAGTATATATTTGCATATTATATGCATAACTGGTCTTAGCGTCACAAGCTGCCCAGATTTTGATGCCATACCTGGCTGGCTTGCTTGGCATCTATTGCTTAAAGTTACAGTGTCCTCTAAACGGTACCAGACATTCGTCGACTGTAACTGCTTGGCCAGGGTTGTACATTTTCGGTAGAATTTCAACCCATTTGTCCCATATTTCTCGAATCGCTGCCAGTTTATCATCTCTCCATCGGTAAGGTCTTGTTTCTCGGTCGTCGAATCTAATGACTCTTGTTATCATTTCAAAGGCTCGCAGAGACATTGTAGCACAAAACATGTCTCTCCCTGTTTCTGCGTTCCACAGGCTCATTGTGGCCTCATTTTGGGAACGGTAGACACCGGCCAGCAATAGAAGGCCAATATAAGCCTGTAAGTCCACCCAATCCACCTCATTCCATGACTCTCCAAAGACTCTTTTTCCCTCTAAATTTGTCATGTCTATCAGTGTCTTTTGAATTTGCTCAGGAAAAAAAAGCTCAAAAGCTGACCTTACGTCCTCAACATGTGAACAGGCATATCTCGTTGGCCCAGGAGTCATCTTCATGATGTTCTCTGCTGCTGCTCTCCCTGATGTCTGGTCAGGTGCAGTAGCAGTCCAGACAATTTCCCCATTTTTGGATGCATACGTTGCTACAGCAGGATCCTCTACCTCGGAGTCTTCATCTGTGTCGACATAATCTGGGTCAAACTCAGTCTGACTGTCCGTTTCAGATCCTTGATCCTCTGCTGACTCCAAACCACAGTTTGTCTGGTCTCCTTCCTCCCCACTGGGTTCCAGGAGAATATCCAGGGTTTCTGCTGCACTAAACCTCCTTCTCATTGTGCTGCTTGCAGTGAACTGATAAAATAACTGCCACTGCAGGTTTAGGTAGCATATGCTACATAAACGTTTTGTTTGGAATATCAACAAACCTTGCAGTAGCAGTTTGATCTGACTCTGAAGGTGTCAGGTGCCAGGTGGTTGATTGGATCATACCAAAAAACATGGTCAGACATTGGCTCATTCAATTCAGTTTTTATAAAAAAATAATAAAAAAAACCCAGCTCTGTCATAGGCTCATTGAATGCATTGTTTGTTTGTTTGTTTGTTTGTGTGTGTGTGTGTGTGTGTGTGAGAGAGAGAGAGAGAGAGGGTGATGAGGCAGGTGGATGATTGGATCATACCAAAAAACATGGTCAGACATTAGCCCAGGGGCCTGTTCTTCGTACGTCGCTAACTCAGTTAGCTGGATTTGATTGTTGGCGATTTGGCATGATCTTGGATTGTTTGGTTCTTCGACGCTCATCCTGGACTTGCTGTCATAGCAACAGGTGCGCAAGCTTGAACCTGCTCGGGAGCAGGCTTATTTCATCTTAACAGGATTAGATCGCGGCTTTATAAGCGGAGGTGATACGGGAAGTCTTTTAGCGCAGCGCGATAGTGTACTTTTTGAGAGATATCATTTTTCTCATGACTCGTGAGGATGTTGTTTACATCATTAATTTGTTGGAAACGCATAAATGTTCGACTCGTCGGAGTCGGGCTTTAATAGCAGGCAAGTTACTATTGCGATTCTTATCCAGATTAGTATTATCTCAAATTTTAAAAAGGCAGTTGACTGACTAAAATCTCTTAGATGGTGTGTGACTAGTTCCATATCACAAATATGGCCAGGATCTGTGCATGACTCAGGAATTTTCAGAGATTTATGCACATTATTTGAACATGGTAAGGAAAAATATAAATATCAAGCTCACTGTATTACATACATGCTTATCCTAACAGAACTGAATTTTTCCATTAAACAGGTGATTACAACAGGATCCTGCTTGGAGACAGGTGTTTTATGACCCCATTCCCTGACCCAAACCCCAGACCAGTTGCAATGCAGCTCTAGCCAGGACAAGGGCACACAATGAATTGAACTTTAGCCAACTAAAGTATCTGAAAAGTCTGAGGGTTGCACCTGACAGGACCTGTGATATGGGCCATATTACACAACATTGCACCATCAGAAAAAAGGATGGCCATTACAAAGTGTTGTAGCTACTTTCTTCCCTTTTGATGTAACATTAGAAAAAGTCCACTTACTGCATAGGCTTGGGAACACATAAAAGTGTTGGTGTATTGTTTAATACTGCACAAAAGAGGAAAACACAATTTCATTACAATGAAGTACACTGGGGGGAAATGTGATCAATAACTCAAGGCAACATATTTTTTTTTTTACATTAACTATGTAGTTTCACAGCCACTCATGTAGACTTTCACAAGTCAAAGCAATTCATTGCTACTCAAGGTTTAACAGCTGATATGACTGGACAGCCATTTGGATTATAGGCCTACTTAATTTAATGCAGCAACAAATTATTTTACAGTGTAGGATCATTTAAAGTTCATTTCCCAGCAGTGAAGGTGTTGCTGCTCCTGGCCTCTGGCTGTGCCCTCCACAAGGTTCACACTCAACCCAAGGGCCAGCTCTTCTGCCAGGGTATAATGTGGGGGTGCAGGACCACCACCTGTTTGTTTTTCTTTTCTTTTTTTTTTCTCAGCCTTTTTCTTGGTTGCTTTTATAAACAGGCAAATATTTATTAACAGTGCCTTTTTAAAAGAGATTAGTTAGTACAAATTACTATTATGTAGAATATTCTACTTCACTTTTACTTGTTCCCATGTTCTAGTAGTGGGTGGTGACTCTGACATTACAATGAACAAAGTTATTAATTATTTAGAAATTATTAAAATATTCAAATATATACTGTAATAAGTGATAAAAACATCTAACTACAAACTTAATTTGTCTGCTACGTTTTGCCAGCCCTCTCTCTTGGCTTTTGCACACTTTGAGGTGTTCCCTGGCGTTTTAAAGGTATGGTATACGATTTTGAAAATCGGTCGAGAAAGCCTGAATTTTTAAAAAACTCATCCCGCCCCTCCACACACACTCCTCCCCTCTGTGCTACCTGATCCCTCCCACCGGGAAACGAACTGAACTACGTCACTCAGTCAAGCTGTGATCACCGGTAGTAAACATTGGAACTGAGATGTAATGTCAGTTCATGTAATGTTCAATCTAATGACCTCGCTAAAGACACATCATATGTAAAATTGCCTTTAGACACTTGAACTTAGTTGCTTCATCAACAATTCAATGTCACGTTTGAGTTCACGTCAACGCAAGATTAGCAACACATGAAATGTTCTAAACTCCCCACCACCATTAGTATAATCCTACTAGTATTGCTAAGGTTTTCAGTAATTGTTATTGCAGCACACAGCGCATCTTGTTCAAATTTCGATCGGCTCGAACAGAAACCCGCTAGGCCAACTGAAATATATTCAAGACTTCAAGAAATATAATTACTTTGACCCGTGATAGGTGTCACGGGTGACAAAATCGCTCGGCAAGCGGAACCCCCTTGAGAGTCCTAAGTTTCCCAGGGGAAGGTATTGTGTGCAACACGCCCCACTCCGGTGATGTAAACATGCCCGCACTGATTAGCGCTAATGCATTGCAGGTGTGAGAGAGAGAGAAGCGGCGCTCACACAGGCTTCCTGTTACGCAAGCCAGGATAAAAAGGGACCATTCAGAGAGTGTTGGTCGTTGATGTTCAGTGGGTTGTTCAGTGGGTTCGCGTTGCTCAGTGAGTTGGAAGTGTTGAAGAGCCTAAAGGGTTGACTTGGAGCAGTGTTGGATACAAGCTTCCTCAGGAAAACCGTTGGGGTGTGGAGACCGCCATTTGAGTTTGCTGGATCAGAGTGATCGTTTGTGGGAAGTCTGCTGGACTGAGCTATCGTCTGGATTGGTGCTGTGGAAGGAGAGAGAAGAGATAAGTGAACTGATTTCATCTTATGAGTGTTTAAATTGCTGGAAGAGGATGCAGTAAATGTGGATCTGATTGTCGGAAGAGCTATGTGTTTCAGAGTGTGTTGAGGAGGAATTGAGAGAGAAATCCCTCGTGGAGCGAGCGCAACAAACTGAGTGGGGCCTCTGACCAGCCTTAATGTGTGAGTGAATTGCAGTGCTTTTGCCTTATTGATACACATTGATTTGTGGCTGTGGAATTGAAGTGAACACAAGTGTGCTGTGCCTTTGCTGAGAAGTGGCCCTAGCCCCATTTACACGTTTGTGGAAAGTTACTATATCTGCTCCCCATTGGAAGTCCAGTGTGATACAGCTGCACTGAAGAGGGTACTCTGTACTGTTAAGGTCCTTAATTGTTATTTACTGTTTGAGCCCAGAAGCCTACAGCATCACTGGTAACGTACTCTTTTAACCCACTGTCTCCTTACTGTGAATTGAAGAAGAGTACTGTGCAGATCCTTACCTGTTCCACTTACTATTGAGTCCAGACGCATGCAGCATCACTGGTAACGTACCCTTTTTAACCCATTGTCTTCCTGCTGTGTACCGAAGAGAGTACATTGTACTGTGAAGATTTTTACCCGTTCTACTTTCTGTTTGAGCCCAGAAGCCTACAGCATCACTGGTAACGTACCATTTTAATTCATTGTCTTCCTGCTGTGTACCGAAGAGAGTACGTTGTACTGCGAAGATCCTTACCTGCTCTACTTACTGTTGAGTCCAGAAGTACACTGCATCATTTGGGAAGCAACCTTTTAATTCACCGTCTCCTTACTGCGAGCTGAAGAGAGTACTGTGTACTGTGAAGATCCTTACCTGCTCTACTTACTGTTGAGCCCAGAAGCACACTGCATCATTTGGGAAGCAACCTTTTAATTCACCGTCTCCTTACTGCGAGCTGAAGAGAGTACTGTGTACTGTGAAGATCCTTACCTGTTCTACTTACTGTCCGAGTCCAGAGGTATACAGCATCACTGAAGGACGCAGCATCATGGGCGAAGTAAATCTTTAACTCACTGTCTCCCTCCTGTGGACCGAAGAGTACCGCGCACTGCGAGGGATCCTTACCTGCTATACTTACTGCCCGAGTTCGGAAGTCTGCAGCACTGCTGGAAAAAAAAGCATGCAGCACCGCTGGTGAACGGAGTCCCTAAATTGTCGCCCAGGGGACACCGTGACAGTTGCGACACGCCCGCCCGTGACAGAAGGATATCTAGAGGACAGTGAAGGCTATCCAATTGATGCCCCTTGTTTTATCGTTCAATAAAGATTGTTCCTCCTTTGAAACTTACCTGTGTCTCCGTAGTCCTCTGTTGTGTGCCTGTGGTGTCGGCTCCCCACGGTGGTGGCTCAGTAAGAGAGGGGGGGTGGTTGGTCATCCGAGCATTCCTCCCCTCGACCTGTGTGACAATAGGCGATGCTAAACGGCTAACATTCCAATGCCGACCGACAGCATGAGCAAGTTGTCAAACTGATAAAAAGCTATTATTGTAACACGTCCATAAAAGTATAAATAAATGTTTACCTGCTCAACAAAAAGTCAGCCGTGTCAGCGTCGGTCTTCAGTCCCAGATCTTCCTGAAGCTTCCTCCAACGGTCAATGGTGGACCCTATATTTATCCTACTCAAAGTTCGGCGTTCTTCACATTTTTTTTTTTAATCTCTGCTCGTTCCTCTAATGACTTTCTCTTTCGTCCTAACTTTACTGTAGGGACAACCAGGGGATTTTTGCTGCTGTCTTTTTTTTTTTTTTTATCCATTGCTGATATGCTACTTAGCTAGCTACCATAGACTGTCAGCTTCTTGCTCGCGCAATTTCATGTCGCAGGAGGGGTGCGGTGGGGTGGAGACGCGAGCGCCAGGCGGAGTTTCAAGTGGAGCTGGTGATTGGATGAGAGCAGTTGACCAATGTAAGCTGTCCGGCCGGACAGCTTACATTGGTCAACTTCTCTGCGGCTGTACAGCCAATAGATTGAATGGATTTTTTTCATTATTTTTTCTATTCATATTGTTAGGATTGTACTATATAACCATAACCAGCATCTAAACGAGGATATTAATAATGAACAATCTTTGAAATCGTATACCCTAGCTTTAATTAAGTTTTCAAATTCTGCATATCCTTCAAGCAA